AATGAGTGGAATAAGAGCTACAATGCTCTTATCAAGAGTCTGGTGGAGGACATTGTTCTAGCAACTAAGGAGCTGAAGAAGGAGGAGATGGCAGCGGCAGATGCAGTAGCAGACGATCCAGCAGTCGCACCGGCGGCTGCAGTACATATGGCCATTGATTTGGAGCAGGAGCCTCCAGCAGAAGAGCTACCACATCACTCTCCAGCAGGGTCACCATTACATTTCCCGGAGCAGGCTCAGGATGCACATTATTTTCCTGATCCAGTCATACCTGAGGCTTCAGCACCGACACCCGGTTTTGGAGAACATATCCAGGCCTTGGAGGACGCAGTTGTCTCTCTTCGGTCAGATGTAGCATCTCTCCGCTCTGATGTCTTAGCTGCACTGTAGGGCATATCCAGAGATATCAGGGGATCACGCCCCACTCGCCCTACTTCATCTGCCTGATCTCTATTCCTCTCCTTTATCATGTTATATATGTGTGATACATTCCTGCTATTTTGATACAGTTATATTATATTTGTGGCCAGTCTGTCGGCCCTATTACTGTGATGTACCATATACTGTTTTTATTTTCCTATTTTATGCATGATCTTTTGGATGTCATATTCTACTATTGATATATCTATCTGTGACTAACTCTGTTATCAGGTGCATCCCAGTGACTTCAGTGAGAGAGTGCTGCGCGAATTTTTCAGGACCACCATTTTTCTCTCTCATTAGTTCATTTGTCATCCCATTTACACTTGCATGTCCACTGTGCACCATTATTATCCCCTTTGTTATCTGATCAGCTTTTCTCCCAATGCCATCTTTTCAGGACCACAGTTCATCCTAAGTTTGGGGGGGTTATATCACCCACTTTGGATACTTCTGTTTCGGCCATTCTTTGCCATAACCGCACTGATATACTCTTTCCTTTCTTTTTTTTACACATTGAGTACACTGTGCCATTTAAGTTTGGGGGTAATGGGTATTGTTACAATATTTGCTTTCAATTCAAAAATTTTGCGCATGACTTGTGTATTTGAGGGATTTTCTATGATTGATCCATGACTAGCTATAATTTTGATCTTTTGAGAACTATATTGCTTAAAATTTAAAAATTGCTTGACTTGAGAGTTCAATACTCCTTGTATGCCTTGTGACCATTTAGGAGTAATTTTTTCAAAAAATTGATATCTTGCTTGCATTTGTGGTCCACATCATCCTGATTTTGTGATTATTTTGAGATTCACCCTAGGATTCTACACTAGCACAAGCACACACGAGCATTCATATGTAGGGTACATGCTTTGTTGATTATTGAATTGGTTATATCCCAATTGGGCTAGTAGTGCATTGAAAGCTTTCATCTTGATAAAAGTAGATAACAAACCCTTTTCATTGAGTAGCTGGGATTCTAGCCTCATCAAGCACTGAATTTCTCACGCCGAAAGGTGGAGGGCCCAAACTTTAGGTTAATACTTGATTATCTAAAAAAAAAAAAAAAAGTTGCAAAATCAATAAAAAGGAGTATTTGACTTTTTTTTTTTTACCTTTTTCTCTCATATTCTGAACGATTCTTTGGCGACACTAGGGATTCCTAGGGTTGTACGGGGAAGAAGCCTTGATAGAGGAGGGGCAACCCTCCTTAATGGTGGGCAGTGTGATACCCGTTGTTACCCCCCTTTGAATCGACCATTGTGGAGCTCGTTGTTGATAGATTATACCTCTAAAGGGTTTACTCCATTGACGTATTACAGTGAAAGCCGCGATAAGGATATTATTGTTATTGAGGATGAAGATATTGCAGAAGAATTACACTATTAGAAGAACTCAGTTGTCTGTTATGTTCTTTGGAATAAACCTTATTATCCCTATTTTAAGGCTTACGTACAGAAATGATGGCACAAGGATGCGGTTGTGGTGTCAATGAAATATGGATTCTTTCAGGTAAGGTTCCCCTCTGAGGAGGGTTTGATTCAAGTTCTCTCGAGACTACATACGTTTCAAGCTCGTGCTATTATTGTGAAGAAGTGGCACAAAAGTATTCAATTGGAAAGAGATATATTGGCAACAATTCCGATATGGATGAAGGTATGTGATTTGCCTATGCATGCAAGAAGTGGGACATCTATATCAAAAATCATTTCAAATATTGCCAAACCTTTGTATATGGATGATATAACTCTCAGCCGTGAGAAGGGATTATTTGTTCGTATTTTAGCTGAGATAGAGGTGGATGAAAAATTCCTAGAGATTATACAAACAAGGCTGCATGGTTTACCATATAGAGTGCAGGTTGAATATGAATGGAAACCTTATGTTTGCAATCTATGTAAGAAAATGGATCATAACGAAGCATTGTGCCCTCTTAACAAGGTTAAAACTGCAAAGCTGAAGGAACAACGGGTGGTTAAGAGTAAACCAAATCAAGGTAATAAGGAATTGATGATCTTACCAGTGGTCTATAGTCAAAATGATGGTGCAGTGGATCTGGATGGTTTTACAGTGCAGAAGAAATCAAAGGTAAAAATAAAGTAGATCAACCAGAGATGCCAGTACAAGTTATTTCAGATAATGCATTTAAGGTGCTTGAAGATATTTCTGAGAGAGATGAGAATGTGGAGGTCTCGAATACAACTGTTGAAATGCACACAGCTGTTATAGAAGAGGGGGACGGTATAGATTCTGAACACATTATTAAGGAAAAGGTAGAGCTATTCCAGGAAGTGGCGAATGAATCGTTAATAGGATTGAATGTTGGACTGGGAGATAGAATTCTAGAGATTAAAGAGGGAGAGCCAACATCATCAGTAGAAGAAGTTTCTTTAAAGAAACAAAAGAAGAAAGGCAGAAAGAAAGAAGTGGAGACTGATCCTAGTTCAGCGAGGATTACTAGAGGTATGCTTGCTGGTGGAGTTCTACCAAATTCTAATTATCAATGATAGGTTTATGGAATGTTAGAGGGCTCAACAGGCATATAATGCAAAAGGAAGTGATTGCCTGGTTGAGTAACTTCTCTATTTCTATGTGTAGTTTAGTTGAAACAAGGGTTTCTAGTGTGAAGTTTTAGAAGCTTAAAGATAGAATCAGAAATAATTAGGTATGGGTGAATAATTATAATGCAGATGTAGGGGGCCGTATTTAGAGTGGATAGGATCCGTTGAGGTTTGATGTTACTATGCTTGAGTCAAAGGATCAGATGATCTTATTGGAGGTTGGAATTAGAGTGACAAATACTAAAATTTTTGTGACCTTTGTGTATGCCAAAAATACTGCTAAGGATAGATGCCAGCTGTGGAAAGACCTGAATGATTCTATCCAAAGGATTAATGGTCCATAGCTGTTGTTGGGTGATTGGAATATTTTCCGATTTAATAATGAAAAGAAGGGGGGAAGGGTATATCCTCCTACAGTGTTTCAGGATTTCAATAACATAATTGATAAATTGTGTCTAGCTGATATGCCTACTACAAATGGTATCTATACATGGTGTAACAAGAGGTATAGCTCTAGAAGAATTTATGCTTAGCTTGATAGGGGTTTAATGAACGAGGAGTGGGCCCTTACTTTTTAGATTCTCATATTTTTCTCACTTCTCCTTAGACCTCTGATCATTGGGGTTTATGCATTAAATTCCCAATGAAGTTGGCAATAGGGCCTAAGCCTTTTAGGTTCCTGATGGTGTGGAACAAACAACAAACAATTAAAGAGTTAGTAGGTGTGACTTGGAATGTTCAGTTTAATGGGGATCCTATTAAAAAGTTGATGTTAAGTTGAAGCTATGCAAGTAAGCTGTGAAAGAATAGAATTTAGAGAAATTTGGTTCAGTGTATGAAAAAGTTATTTCTTGCAGAAAAGCTTTGGGGATTACTCAGCAGCTGATTATTGATGATCCAATGGATGCGATTTTAATTCAGTAGAAGGATGAAGATAGAAGGAAACTGGAAAATGCAATCTCCAATGAATCCATTATTTTAGCTCAAAAGTCTAGAATTAGGTGGGTTAAAGATTATGAAAGATGTACTAAGTTCTTTTATCAAAAGATTAATCAACATAGGTCAGCTAATAATATATCTGCTCTCTAAGTTGAAGGTGAAATCAGTACTGATCCTACAGTGATTAATGATACCTTTGTGGATCATTTTAAGAAGGCTTTTGCAGACACCAATGTTTTGACATGTGATTCGGATACTAGATATATCAGGAAAACTTTAGATATTGAAGAAATAGGCATGTTGGAAGCTATTGTATCTAGAAAGGAGGTGGAGCTGACAGTCTTTGATATGGGTGCTGATAGAGCTCCAGGGCCAGATGGTTTTATAGCTCGATCCTTTCAACAATATTGGACTATTGTTGGGGAGGACTTTACTGATGCTATTTTACAATTTTTCAAGCAGCCAGTTTTGGGTAGAGGTACTAATAGCACTTTCATTACTTTGATTCAGAAGAAAGAAGATGCAATTACGGTAGGGGATTTCAGGCCTATATCTCTATGTAATACTTTTATAAAGTCATTGCTAAGATACTTGCAAACAGATTATCTAAGGTTTTGGGGAGGATTGTGGGCAGTGAACAAACTGCTTTCATTTAAAATAGAAGGATCCAAGATAATATAATCATTGCCAAAAGGGCTAAACCAACCTTAGCTTAGAAGATTGATTTGAGAAAGGCATATGATACTATGAACTGGAATTTCCTTCTTCAGCTGCTGAAGTTATTTGGATTTGGTGATCAGTGGATTGCTTGGATTAAAGAATGTATTTCATCTCTTTGGTTTTCCATTCTTGTTAATAGATCTCCTCAGGGATTTTTTTCAGCCTGAAAGAGGATTAAGACAGGGGTGTCCTTTATCCCCGTTATTGTTTACTTTGATTACTGAATATTTTTCAGGTATGATGGACTTGGAGGTTAGAAATAGGACTGTGGTTCCTTCAGTAGCTACTGTCAAGGCTGGAATTCTAATCACTCATTAGTTTTTTGCTGATGATTTATTATTGGTTGTCAGAGCTAACATGGCTTCAATTTTAACTGTCAAGAGATTTTTGATTCAGTTTGAAAAAACCTTAGGTTTAGCTATTAATAAGGACAAATCAGAGGTTTTTCTTACAAAATCAGTGAGAAGAAGGGATGCTATTGTTAGATCTTTAGGGTGTAAGGTAGGAAAACTACCTTTTACTTACTTGGGGCTCCCTATTTCTGATAAATTGCTGAGAAGAGTTGACTGCCTTAGTTTGGTTGATATAGTAATTGATGTTACCTCTAGATGGAATGGTATGAATATATCAATGGATGGGAGGGTGGAATTGAGCAGAGCTATGATTATTCCAATGGTGCAGTATTGGACTTCAGTATTTTCTCTTCCTACTGCTGTTTCAAATTTGATTGAGAGAAGAATGAGGAACTTTGTTTGGGGACACCTTGAAAACAGAAAGAAGCTATGGGCTCCGATGGAAGAATCTTACAATGCCTAAAGAGGAAGGAGGTGTGGCGTTAAGGAAGATTATTGATATTGATAAAGCTGCTAAAATTAGTCTTGTTTGGGATTTTTTACTTTCAAAAGACAGGATTTGGGTTGCTTAGTTTCAGCACTGTTATTTGAGGACTTCATCATTTTGGAATTTTGTTCCTAGGATTAATTCATCTACTGTGTGGAGAAGCTTATTGGCTGTTCGTGATGTTATCAAGGAAAATTGTAGGTATAGAATTGGTGATGGTCTAAATATAAAAGTTTTCTTGGATCCATGGTGTGAAGGGAAGATGCTAAGTGAATTATTTAACCATAGGTTGTTATGGTGCCTAAGTAGGAACAAAAATATCAGTATGCATGAGCTTATTATAGAGGGAGAATGGGATGTATCTCAATTGAATAATACTTCTCATGAGCTAATTCAGATGTTCCAAAATCAGAAAATTCATGGCGGAGTGGATGAAATTCAGTGGGTAACCACATTTAGTTTCAAAGCTGCCTGGGAAGCTACTCGTTTTAGATTATAGGAAGTGAATTGGTTTGTGCTGGAGTGGGGGGAGACCTAGGTGGTCAGTTCATGCGGTTTTGGTGATGCAAAATGCCATTCTCACACACTCTTATTTACAGAGAAAAGGTTTTGTTTTGGTTTCTAGATGCTTTCTTTGCTACAAGGAAGTGGAGAGTATTGATCATTTATTTTGTTACTGTGAGTATACAAGAAAAGTATGGCACAATTTTGAAGGAATTTGTATTTCGAATGCTCAAGTTTGTAATGGGATATATGAGTTGACAAAGTTCTTTACTCAACAATATCAAGGGAAGGGGAGGAAGATGAAGATGGCTAGGATCTTGTTTATAGCTTCCTTATATTTTTTATGGGGTGAAAGAAATAACAGAATGCATAATGATACAGTGCGAGAGTCTAAGGATTTAGCAAAGTGTATTCTTTGGGAGGTACTTGATGTCATGGGGGTATGCCTTCAGGACATCCTATAGCTCTCTTGTTTTTATTTGCTTGTTTTGAGCATTTTGTCTTCCCTTTTTAAGGGTTTTGTTTTGTTTTGGTAAGGGTATTCCCTTATTTGTTTTTGTACTATATTGTTCATATTTATAAAAACTCATTCATTTAGGGAAAAAAAAAAAAAAAAAATGAGGATTTTTCCCAAAAGGTGAGAAGTGGGAAATGATTAGCTGGAGGTTGTTTTGATTTGTAACCTAGTTAATTTGAGCTTGTAAGTCTTTAGGGAGTGTTTCAACACCTATTACCCTAAATCCGTCTGATTTGGGAGTCATTGACCTAACGCTCGACCTTATGGATCGCTAGAAAGCTTAATAGATCACTACATTGCACCATGTTACCATGTTTGATCCTTAGGGATAGAAAAAAAAAAAAAAAAAAAAAAAAAAAAAAAAAAAAAAAAAAAATTCGAGTGAAAAGAATAAGTGCACCTATAACAATAAAACTTTAATAAAAGGTACACTCTTTGTCTTGATGATCGGTACTAGATTTGTGTGCTAGTTTGAGGGTAAGGATGTGATCATTTCTTTAGTTGGCTAAGATAGTAACATATTTGATGCCGGTCCACTCAAAAAGGATTCTAAAGCTATTTTGATTTGCATGATCATTTTCTTGATGTGTGGAGGACTATACTTGCTTACTTGGTGTTGAAATTTTGAGAGATTGCTTGGAAATAGTTGAAAAATTGCATACTTGAGGTAGTTTTCTCCCAATGTTTTTTTGCAATATTGGTGCCTCTTTTGAAAGAATGAGCTTAATGTTTGTGGGTATCATTTCTGGAAACCCTCATGAGACTTCAGTCGTCCACTAGGGGTAACCTAGGGGTTTAAAAGGCTTGTTGCATATGCTAAATGCAATTGTGTTTCCTACGAAAGTGGCGTTATCCATTTATTGCTTTCTAGTTCATAGTTGTATAGTTGCTAATTTCATTCCTTTGCTTTATAGTTCATTGCTAGGGACTAGCAATATTTAAGTTTGGGGGTGTGATAAGCGCTGAAAAGTGCGCATTTAAACCCTTTAAGCTAAGGTATTCTAGGACCTTTATCTATCTTATTTCCCCGTTTTATTCTAATTTCGTGTTATTGCCCTTTTCAAGTGCTTATTCCAGAAATAAGTCAATTCGGCCAAATAAGAGCATTAAAGGAGTTAACTCAAGCTGAATGGAAGAAAGGAACAAAGTGGGAGCAAAATGAAACAAAGTGTGGAAATTCAGCACGTTCGATCGATCTCAGAATTTCTTCGATCGATCGAAAGTTCATTGATCTAAACAATTCAAGATGGATCCAAGCCCTTGTCCTTATCCAAAAGAATCCAGCAAGTTCGATCGATCCAACATTTCCCAGATCGATCGAAATGATTCGATCTTATCCACACCTACCACCCACCTACCACTTTTATCTTCTTCCCAAAAATATCTCAGAGATTTGTGTTTATTCAAAAAGGCGCCGCCAAGAAAGATCTATCTCTGCAGCATTCGATGGATCTCAGCCATGTTCGATCGATCTCAACACAGTTCGATCGATCGAACTTCCTCAAGTCCAAAAAAAATAGATTCCAGCTCATTAAAAGTTAGCTCATGGTGCAATCATTGGAGGGACCTTGGTATACGAGCCCAGACCATTGGGGTGACATTTGACCTACCTATATAAGGATTGAGAGCCACTTTTAGAGCATACACATAGTAGATAGTTGTTATTCATAACTTGTATTTTTTCATATCTTGGAGAGGAGGCTAGAGATTAGAGAGCTTTACACATCTTGGGAGTTCTTCCATTCTTCTAGGGTTTCCATCAAGAAGGAGGTCATTCCTACCATAGAGATAGCCCTTGAGGGTTGGATGACTACTTAATGAGTGGCTAGACATCTACTTGGGGCTAGAGTAGCCCCTAAGTTTGCTTCATAGACTTAGTTCTTTGTATATTTTTAGGGATTTATTTGTAACAATGTTTTGATCTTGGATTTATATATATATCTTGTGGTTTCTACTTGATGTGTATAAATTAATGCTTTCAATTGATTATCTACTTCTAACAATCTGTCTATGTATGCTAGAATGGATTATTCATGTGCTTTTCCTTAGATTTAGTGGAATTTATGCATGTCTATGTGTATGGATGAAGTTAATCTAGAGATGGTCAATACATAGAGCTTAATTGAACACTCTTACAATTTATTTGATGGTTCACACTTGTTTTTTGATAGATTGTACCACAACTTTAGCTTATTTTGTTAAATTTCATGTCTTTAGTGTAGATGTAATGTAGTTGTTTTAAATTCATAGATAGGTGGACAATTTACTCTTATTTTTTGGTGTTCCATACTTACGAATGCATTTGGTGTATATTTCTAGATAGTTGTGTGTGCATAAATTATGGTTTTATTGAATGGATTTTGGTCTCATTTGATAAGTTGTGCTTTTCATTTGATTTGGCTTGACAACCTATACTTATTTGCCATCCATGCCTAGTTTCAATTAATGTCAGACACACACACACAAGTTACAAGTCAATTTCCCCATTAATATACAATTGCTAGTGTCTAGTGAAGTCAAGCTTAGTGGTGAGCTCTAGTACCCCAAGTCCTTCCCTCTATATCTTTCTCTATTTTATTAATCATTGAATTTTGTTTACTTTAATGTCAATTGCATAATAGTTTAATCATCAATCCAACCAATCCTTGATCACTTGACCTACTAACCCTATATATTGTTTCCATTGCATTGGTACCCACGATCCATTGGGACGATTCCTACTCACCCTAGCTATATTTTTAGTTAGAGGTAGTGGTGGCTTTTACAAATTTAAAACTTGGCCACATTGCACACTCACACTCTTAATTCATATCTTTGCAAACTTTTGGTGCAACGAACGGCTCACCCCACCAAGTAACACTTGATAATGTATAATTAGCTTATAATCTAAATAGAGTAACACAAGTGATACACATAACCAGTAGCTCCTTTTCTGGTCTAGCGAGTTTTTAGCACAAGGAACACTACAAATTAACAACAATTAGAATGGGGACCTTTAGTGTGCCACAACCATAACATTTTGAAGATTCGAAAGTAATTACTATTGTGCTTCATACCTGGGTGAAACGTTTGTTATGACCCTTAATTATGTCAAGTATTAAACTGCAACTTAACTAAAACGTATTAAAGAAATAGGAAAATATGAATATGATCTCAAAAGTTAAAAAAATCAGGAAGTGAGCAAAACTTGGATTCATACTAGTAACAACCAGCACCTTACAGAAAAATGATTTGATTAATAAAAATATGATTTCAAGAGTTAAAAAATTGCACACAAATAAAGAATATGAATTTAAAAAAGAAGACACTTTGACTCCATCTCCATTTTTTTAGTCATTGATGTTGAGGGAAAAAAAAAAAAAAAAAAAAAAACCTCAATGGCCAACAAATATTGTTAAATGTCATATTAGAAATTTTGTGATATTAAACTAGAAGGATTTCATAAGTGTTAGTTGTGCTGTAAAACACTGTCATAGCATTGCATGTCCTCCTGTACAAGTAAAAAATTCATCTTGCTTGGAGTTGAGAAATGCATTGAAAAAAAAAAATCTTATTACACTGATTAATGTGAAGGTTAAATTTTTTTGCATCAATGTGATTTCTACTGAATGAAGATCATTGATAATTTTACATGGCTGAATAAAGGGTGGGAATTGTCAAGGCTTAAATCAATTTTATAGGATTCCATTACATACAAATTATGGGGATCATCAACACTAGTCCTTCGAATGTCAGGTTTTTGGAATAGATATTTTCCACACTTTCAGTTTCAACTTGTACTAAAATCCAATATATTTTCATCATTCCTCTTGAATAATTCTCGGTAGTTTATAGGTTCCGAAACAATATTACATACTTCAAATAGTCACAAACGAGAGCTCAAATGTGGTAGAAAAACAAACTTGAATCGCCTTGTAATTATGGGCTAAAAACAGTGCTCTCTCTGTGGAGCAGA